GTGCTGGATTTTTTTTTTTTCTGGTGGAACAGTAGAGACCAAAGTAGATAGATAGTCCACATGCCCAGAAATGAGCACATTTCCCCAGACGTGCCTGTGCTGGTTTTCTCCGAGTGTAGGTGTTATTCAGGTCCTTTTGTGGAAGATGACATTTGCCTTGCCCGCATGCCGCTTCCCACGGTGCAAATATACTTCTATTCTCCGATCCTCCCAATAGTTTCGCAATAATGTGGGTGTATCACTATTCACTTTACACGGTTATGATGAAGCAACTGTCACTCCTAGCTTAGTCATGTTATGTAACCACATTTCTTTTCTCATATAGCCTTCGAATTGTTGTTGTTTTCTAGGTACTAACACAGCCCCCAACTCTACCAGACTTGCGTCTTAGTGCGTCTGTAGACCCCTGATAACCTGTTTCCTCCCGCCTCGGAGCATCACCCCTGGGCTCTTTCTATTGGTGTCTGCATCTGCCCAGCCCTGTGGTCCTGGGATCTCCCTTTCCCGTCATTCTGGGGGTGCCCTCCATGACCTCTTCCTTGTTTTACTCATTTAGGTGGGGTGCAGCTTCCAGTGCTTTCCTGGGCAAGGAGGCCACTTGCCTTGGTGTAGATGTCCATACTCCCTCCACCGTTAGGAGAGAGTGCCGTGTGTGTCCAGGGTTCTGGCTGGCACCCCTTCTCCTCTTGGGTGTTCTCAGGCTCCGCCCCCATCTCCCAGCCTCCACGTGGAGATCGAGAGGCCAGACGCCTTCCTCACTCCCCAGACTTCTCACATGAGCTGGGTTTCCCTACGCACCTCTGGAAGCTTTTGTGGGGTCTTCCTGTCCCAAGTGATCTAACATTTCATGATGATGTTGCTTTGTGGGTCTTTCTCCTTCCATTGTGCTGGGAACTGGGTGGGCCCTTTCAATCTGCAAAATTGTGTCATTTGGCCTCGGGATTTCTTGAATTATTTCCTTTTTCTCTTTTCTTTCTGGAGTTATTACTAGTCAAATATTGAATCCAAGAAGCTCAAAGAATTCCAAGCAATGAAAACATGAAGAAAGACACATTATAATTTCTAAAATACTGAAAATGAACGAAGACGGACTCACACTTCCTGACTTCAAAATCTACTACAAGACTACAGTCATCAAATTAGTGTGGCCCTGGCATAGGATAAACATACAGACCAGTGGAAAAGAACTGAGAGTCCAGGAATAATCCTGCACATCTATGGCCCACTGATCTTCAGCAAGAGTGCCAAGACCAGTCAACAGGGAAAGAATGTCTCTTCAACAAACGGACATCCACATATGAAAGACTGAAGTCGGGCCGCCTACCTCACACCACGTATAAAAGTGAACTCAAAATGGATCAGTGGGCTAACTTTGAGCTAAAAGCATACAACGCTTAGAAGAAAATAGGGGTAAATTTTCGTGACTTCGGATTTGGCAAGGAGTTCTTAGATATAATTCCGAAAACATAACAAAAGAAAAAAATAGATAAATTGGACTTCATCAAAATTAAAAACTGTTACGCACCACAGTTCGTTATAAAGAAAGGGAAAAGACACCCAACAGAATGGGAGGAGATGTTTGCAAATCATAATTCTATAAGGGCGAGCAACCAGAATACATAAAGAGCCCCTACAACTGAACAACAAAACAACCCAACTTAAAAATGGGCAAAGGACTAGAGTAGACATTTCTCCAAAGAAGACATATGAACGGCCAACAAGCTCATGAAAGGAAGCCCAATATCATTGGTCATTAGAGAAATACAAATGAAAACCACCAGATGCCATGTCACACCCACTCTCATGGCTATAAAAAATAAAAAAGGAAACTAAGTGTTGGTGAGGACAGAGAAATCAGAACCTTCATGCATTACTGGTGGAATGTAAAATGGTGCAACCACTGGGGATCAGTTTGGCAGAACCTTGAAAAACTAACCATAGAATTATCACATGGCCCAGCAATTCCAGTCCTGGGTATATACGCAAAGTAACGGACAACAGTTATTTAAACAAATACTTGTACACAAATACTCACAGCATCACAGTTCACAGCAGCCAGAGTGGAAACCTAAATGCCCATCACCTGGTGATGGATAAACAAAATGTGGCCCATCCTCACAATGGAATTGTATTCAGCCATGAAAAAGGAGTGAAGTCGGCTACCTGCGCCAATGCAAATGAACCTTCAAAACATCATGTTCAGTGAAATAAGCCAGACACAAAGGCCATAGATTGAATGATTCCCGTTTATCTGAAATAACCCAGATAGGCAAATCCATTTAGAGACAGAAAGCAGATGGGAAGGGAGGAGGGGGAGTGACTGCCAAGGGGGTGATGAATGACAAGAATTTGGAACTTGATGGAGGTGGTGGCTGTATGACATTGTGAATGTCATAAATGCCACTGAACTGTACATTTCAAATTTGTTCATTTTAGGTATGTGAATTTTACCTCAATTAAAAAAACCAAACACTCAAGCCACTCTAACTAACCAGTCCAGCCCCAAGCAGACAGCGCTACTGTGTGAGCGTCACCAGCCTGCCTCACGCTTCCTGAATCCCTTTCTGCTGCTCTCATTCTGGATTCTTCTCTGGAAAAGGCACTTCTGCTAAAGGCCGCTCTGCCCCAGTCAATGCATGGGTTCATCACCTGGCTGAGTTACCTTTTAATAAGATTTCCTCGTTGAGACATTTTAAGAGAAAGTTAAAGAAAAGCACATCTAATCTAATAAGCCAGATTCATTTAGGTCCCTGGTGCTACTAAAAGGTAAGCTGTACCACTTCCGCTGGCCCC